GCTAAAATATAATGTATTTTGTAATGCTATGTCAAATAATTGCAAAACCTTGTGGCTTTTACTTTTTCAAGATTTGGTCAAACTTGAAAAATTCTGAAATGAAACTAAAACCAGCAGGACATTCATAATATTTTACTCATTTCAACTTGTTACTTTGTATAATTTTTTTATTTAATTCATGAGCAACTGCAAACCACAGATACTTAGTAAAAAATTTACCCCCCCTTCTGATTTTTTCTTTTAAAACTTATGAAACACGACTTTAAACTTGAGAAAAATTACATTGGTTTAAAAAAAAATCACATCCTCTTGGGTAAGTTATCTTGGATTTAAACATAACTAGAACTGTCCAAACGGGACAAAATACCCCCCGCTGGGTTTTTCAAAAGTAAGTTTTTCCATAATAAAGATATGTATCACACATGAATTATGAAATTTTTCTTCTTGTGATCTTAAACTTCCCCAAATGACCTTGGGTCAAGGTCATGACACACCATAACGTCATAGGCAATCTCTGTGTGAAATGAGAACCTACCAAGTTTATCCATAAGAAAGATAAGGACCGGACACGAATTATAAAATTTTTCTTCCAGTGACCTTGAAGTTCCCCAATGACCTTGGGTCAAGGTCATGACACACCCTTGGGTCATGGGCAATCTCTGTGTGAAATGAGAACCTACCAAGTTTATCCATAAGAAAGATAAGGACCGGACACGAATTATGAAATTTTTCTTCCAGTGACCTTGAACTTCCCCAATGACCTTGGGTCAAGGTCATGACACACCCTTGGGTTATGAGCAATCTTTGTATGAAATGAGAACCTACCAAGCTTATCCATAAGAAAGATATGGACCGGACACTAATTATGAAATTTTTCTTCCAGTGACCTTGAAGTTCCCCAAATGACCTTGGGTCAAGGTCATGACACACCCTTAGGTCATGGGCAATCTTTGTGTGGAGTAGTAGATTCTAATGTCCCTTTGTAAGAAAGATATGGACCAGACATATTTGCACAGACAGACAGACAGACGGACAGTTAGACAGACGGACAAGGTGATTCCTATATACCCCCCAAACTTCGTTTGCGCGGGTATAAATATCCAACAATGGAAAACTTTAAACATAGTGTTTGGCATATAATTAACAATTAGGTTTGCAATGGATCTTTTGTATTCTGTAAAGTCAGTTTAATAAATGCCCCCCCCCCCCCCAAGAGACACTGTCCCCCAACAGTATCATTTTAAGGAAGGTCTTCCTTTCATTTTACTAGGTTCCTGCCAACATCTCATCACACCAACTATATCAATCTCCTTTTCTTTTTTTTTTCACATGTAAATATAAATTCTGAAAACAGAGAACTTTTCGCTTTTTTTATTTTATATTTGGGCAACATTTAGAGTACATGTATTCTCAACTACGGTACATATCATTAGATTTACGTGACAAATTCTACTGCTTCTGCTGCTCTGAAAATCTTGTCTCTGATTTTTCAATTTTAGAGTTTTTGTTGGTCAGGCATGTACCAGTAATGACCTACATTGACATACGCAAGTAACACTGATAATTAGTTAATGAGAATTATGCTGAGTTGAGTTTTTTTGGCAAGGTACAGGATAAAGCTTCATAAGTTCTAAAACATATTGTTATACAGCATAAGATTTGAGGATGCCATCACATAATTTGATAAACATGTTCCTATTACATTTGAACTTTGACATCTCAAACATTGATATCTTGAAGACAGTGGGTACAAGTATGTTGGAATAGGTTGGAATTCAGCTTTCACTTGCCTGGTTTCAAACCTAAAATATGGCATCCCTTCTCAACCTGCAATGGTAAATAATTCCTGAACTTTCCAATATACACAGATTTCAAGCTAATTAAATGTGTATGTAATCCTTTAGAAAGTTGTTTTCTTTATTCTAGTATAATAATTCTTCTGTTACTGGACAGGTATTAAATTTTGTTAAAAAAAAAAAAGAAATAAGCAAGATTTAAATTAAGATATAAAACTGAAATATTTTTTAACAATTTAAGGACAGATGATACAAACAAACTTTTGTCAAAGAATTTGAAAATAACAACTGGGGTCATGTTTAAATCAGTAAAACTAATAACTTTCTTCAAGTACTTTTTAATTTTTAATTCATATTTGCATAAAAATGGAATTTGAAGTGAAAAATATTTGTATAGATTTAAATAAGGATAGTTTCAAGAGGGCAGACTTTTGAACATCACACAGAAGGTTTACAATTTCTTAATATTCTAGAAATTTATTAATAGCATCATTAATTTGCAATTAAATTATGCCAAAAAATATATACCAATCCAGGCATCCATTTTTTGTTTGTATCATCTGTCCTTAATTTACTTTCATATTTTAAGAATGGTTACCTTGAAAAGAACAAAATCTAGGCTGTCCACTTTCTTGCAGAATGCACTTGAACTTCAGTCATGGCCTATTTGGTCCTGTTTTGGTTTACTGGTCTTACTTTTTCTTTATTCATCTTATATGGTAAATCCTTTGATGAAAAAATGATGAAAATAATTAGGCCTAGAAAAAAAATATGTTTGTTTCCGCTTTCAGGCTGAAAAAATATAGGGTAGGTAGGTAGGCAAATTTAAAAAAAAAAATTTTTTTTTTTACTTCTTTAATCAAAATGTGTATAGAAGTAACATTAATGACAAAAGAAATGGTGTTTTCAAGCATTTCTGTGACTTAAACTTATAATAGAAAGGTGACTCAAACTTCTTTCTGTCTTGAAAAGCTTGCAAAATTGGAGACTATGATTCCCTGGGTGAAATCTTGCACTTCATGGGACTAAAGCATTAAAAAAAAAAATTAGGGTCGGCACTATTAATTAGGGTCGGTCGGGAAAGCGGAAACAAACATATTTTTTTCTAGGCCTTATTTTCCTAGGAACATGATCAAAAGGAAAATTCATTTCATTCATAAACAGACATGTTCATGTTTGTGATCATCTTACCAGTAGTGATTATTTGCCTGAGTATCAAATAATTTGTTTAGAATATTATAAAACATGGTCAGTGTGTATAAAACAAATATCATTATAAATCAGAGCTGAACATTCTACATGTACATGTATATACTGTAGACGTACTTTTTTTCACGGGGTCATAATCCCGCAGAATCTCAATTTCTGTTTAATCCACCGGTAGAAAATTACGCGGATTTCTTAGACTGTCACTATATGCCTTACATTTAAATTAAGTATGCTAGGACAAATTTCCACGGAAAATGTGTGACCGCGTACATAGCGTAAAATAATACCACGCGGAAAAAAGTACTTCTACAGTAGTTTTATTATACCCTCCGCTTGAAAAGTGGTAGGGTATACTGTAATCGGTATGTCCGTCTAGCTGTACGTCCATCTGTCTGTACGTCCGTCTGTCTGTTACGCTTTAGGGTACCCATCTCTTAATAATCCGCAACTCCTCTTATACCACTGCAGTGAGTGAAATTTAATGAACCTTTCACAGAATCTTTATTACATTATCATGATTATTGCCATTGTGCACCTCCTATTTTACTTTTTGATTCGACACATATTTTGGGTTTCCCGGCCACAGTAAAACATGGATTTGTCATCAGTTATAACCATATGGGAGGCAGGGGGTATCATTTAGTGAGCAATGAGCTCATTGCTCACAGTACCTCTAGTTAAATTTTGTTTTAACACTAATACATATGTACAATTGTACATATATATTTTTTAATGTTTGCTATTTGAAAAGATTATTATTTTTCACACAAAATTGAACTATAGATTATACAGTCCTGGTACTTCACAGGCGAATAAGAGTCTATATAAACAAAAATAACTCAATATTTCCAGTGCATTCTTAACCTAGATCTATTTTGTCAATACATATAGTACAGTTTTGGATATAAATAATAAATTTAAAGTTTAAAAGATAGAAGCTATTAAATAAAACAATGGCATCAAAACAAACATGCTGTTTTCCTATTTTCTGCTTATGAACATCACATGACCATATTTTGCTGATATATAGAATACTATTTAAAAAAACTTAGCTACTTTATGCTTGTGCTCACACATTATAAACATTTGATGCACTTTTTTTTTATAGAAACAAACTTGCTCTTGTTAAATATTTTAACAACACAATTCTGTAAAATATGTGCCTATAATGCCAATAAAGAATTGAAATAATAGGATAAACAATGAATGAAAACTGACAGAAGTGGAAATTTATATTATAAAGATAAATAATGTTCACTTAAAAGTCTCTCTCAGCACATCAGTATATACATGAATTTACCTTCTGTCTTCATTGTTTAAGATGTCTAGCCTTCTTTTCTTCTTCCATACTGTAAAACTTTGATGAGATCTTTCGCCAGAAATGTTCATTGCTGTTTACTAAATACACATTGTACCTCCAAACGTTAGAGAGTAGTTCAAGGGAAGTAATTAGGAAGCAAAAAATGCTTCAAAATGTAGAAAAAAGTAATCTTTACCTTTGAATTCCTTTTACATCTTTGAGTGTCCCACCAATATTTTACATATTTTGATATAATCAAATATCAGCCTTTCATAATTAATTATTACTAAATTTGTAATCAGTGTGCCTTTTTTGTTTTAAGCCTCCAAAAACTCCACTAAACCAATCACATATCTGATATGTTATGATATGTAAATTGGCCATTTACTATTGAGAGATTAAATTAAAACTACAGATATAATTACTTTAATCTGTAGTATTAAATTTAAATAATGAAAACATATTTAGTTATCCCTTTTCATTTCTGGACACATTTTTTCTTGATAAGTTCACGTTTTTCAAAATTAACGAAATTGAAAATTTTGCACCCCGTTTCTATGGCAACCAAGGGTCTATTTCATAAACCCACTTTAGATTTTACAATTAATGACATAGCTGTTTAAAATTATTATAAAAAAATCAAAATGTTTTTCTATGCGTGGCCAACCAATTTTGATAATTACAGAGAATTGATATTAATTTCTTGCAGCAGCACTTGCGGTCGAATTGGCAAATCCTATCAATCAAAAAAAAAAGTACTTAAATTATAATGGTGCAATATTAATAAAATTAAAATTCATTGCTTTTATTCCTTTTAAAATCTTTTTATAAACACAAGTTTGGGTTCTTCAATTTAATATCAATTTCATTTTGTTTAAAATATTATTTATAATAATGACAATCATAGTTGAACTGTTTTTAATTAAACAAGCAATAAAAAAAGAAAAAAAAAGAATATATATACCTCAAACATAACCATCCATGGACCAAGCTTTAAGCCCGTTAAAATCGCAGTAAGTTGAATAAGCACTTATTCTTTTTCAGAAAATCTCCTCCTCATGCACAGACGCTACCAAAAAAAAAAAATGTATGGTAAATCATTGCTAGAGATTACAGCCCATGGCTCCCCAAAATTAACACCTTTAATTGTGGTTAACCATAATAAAATTCTATGAACTGATTGAAAGATTTGAATCATGGGCATATTGGCTGAAACGTACGTAGCCTGGTAGCTCAGTCCTAGGCCTAGAGTATTTATTTTCATCATCACAGTGACACACATGTTAAAAAAAATATGACTGACCTACCGCATATGAAATACGTGTATCTGCATCTTTTGGTTGATACAGCAATACGATCTCAGGCTATCTGGTCAACAAACTTCTTCCTTTAGACAGAGCAGACGTTGCAACATGGAGGCCAAGGTTAAATTTTGGCGGTCTGTTGTTTAAATTAATTGATCACTGAGCCCGACTTTTTGAAACATTCTTCCGATCCCGATCAAATTGTACATAACATTCAGGAGAAACAGAGAACTGCTGTTAACTCCAAGACAGTTTTTATGCACCCAAATTTTTTCGGGGCGCATATTGTTTTTGTCCTGTCTGTCTGTTTAGCTGTATGTCTGTCTGTTTGTTTGTCTGTTGTCAACTTTAACCTTCGCTATAACTTTTGAACCGTGAGACTTAGAGACTTCATATTTGGTATGAATACTCCACTACAAAAACACTTTCAACTGACACCAAGGTCAATGACCTTATGACCTTGATTGTGACCTTTATGCTAAAAATAGCTTTTTCGAACTTTCGCCATAACTTCTGAACCGTGAGAGATAGAGACTTCATATTTGGTATGCATACTCCACTAATTAGGCACTTTCAACTGACACCAAGGTCAATGACCTTGTGACCATGACTGTGACCTTTATGCTAAAAATATCTTTTTGGAACTTTCGCCATAACTTCTGAACGGTGAGAGAGAGAGACTTCATATTTGGTATGCATACTCCACTAATTAGGCACTTTCAACTGATGTTTTTCCCTTCTCACCAAGGTCAGTGACCTTGACTGTGACCTATATGCTAAAAATAGCTTTTTTCGAACTTTCGCCGTAACTTTAAAACCGTGAGAGATAGAGACTTCATATTTGGTATGCATACTCCACTAATTAGGCACCGTCAGCTGACACCAAGATCAATGACCTTGTGACCTTGACTGTGACCTATGTACTAAATATAGCTTTTTTCGAATTTTCGCCATAACTTTTGAAACATAGATGATAGAGACTTAATATCTGGTATGCAAACTACACTAATAAAGTGCTTTCAAATGACACCAAGAACAATGATTGTGTGACCTTGACTGAGACCCATTTGCTAAAAATTGCTTTTTAGAACTTAATGTTGCCGCCAGGTGCTACTGTGTCTCACAAACACATCTTGTTCTTGATGAAAAAATTCTAAGTCCAGAGCTCCGTATTTTTTCCGGATGAAAAATATTCTAAGTTAAGAGTTCAATATTTTTCCAGATGAAAAATAGACTAAGTCCAATTCTCCGTATTATTTCCGTTTATTTTCCGGATTATTTCCGTATATTTTCTGCTTTTCCGTATTGTTAATTTTCTCCGTATTTTTTTCCACATTTTTTCCATATTAAAATGAGGAAAAAATGCGGAATAATGCGGAAATCTGGAGATCTGAGGTGCGGGAATTTATGGCTCAAATCTGCACCCCATATTACATGGTAAATTATGAAACTGTGTTCAATGGTTGATTTTACTGCAATTACATAACAGAAAAAATGCTTCTTAACAGACGTACCCTTCATACATGATAAAAATACATTTTGCAACTGTATTTTGTTTTAAGTTTGGTTTATTTACAATAATAAAAATCCCCCAAGTTTTCACCAAACCGCTTGACGCCATATTAGAATGCTATCCTTTAGCTATCCTTCCATCTCTGACGTGGAAGGCTGAGAAGGCCTTCTAAGTCTACCCTACCAAACCAATCGAGCAGTCTATCAAATAATCAACAGAGGCCAACTGTTGCTTATGCATCTCTTCTTCAGTTATTATTACAAGTTATCTTTCTTACAAGAAATGTGAAATATGTGTTCTACAGAATGGTTATTCTGGAATAAGAAGGGTCCCAATCGAGTGGGCCCCTGGTCAGTGGTCAAACGACACAACTTCCAGATCTCCTTAGACAACTGTAGATAGTTTTACAAATGACACAAAATATTCTGCAATTTTAGGGGAAATGTAGTTACAAGGGAATAAATAGGACAGGATATATTCGTCGCATTTAATCTTGCAAATATGCATTAAAATAAAAAAAGGCTTTCGGTTAAGAGGTTTTTCACATTTTCAAAATGCAATAGAATCCATAAAAATCAACCGAATACATGAAAAATTGAAACGCATTTATTTCTTAAAAAAAAATTATCTCAGACCCCCCCCCCCCTTCCAGTAGCCTAGCAATGTCGCTTATATAACAAGACAGGTTTGAGACATAAATATTTTGTCCTGCCCAGAGGTAGAGCATATTCTAGATTAATTGCTAAAATTGTTTTATAATTGGGGGATTGATTAATACATAAATTCATTATTTGTTTCTTGCATGCATTTGTAATTTATTTGCATCGGGATCGAAATTGTGAGTTTTAAATTTTGACATGTGGCGCGAACAGCAAATTTGGCGTCAGTGGACGGTCAGGTGAGTTGGTTGGGGAAAACGGTTAACATTATTTGAAATAACATTTGTCAGATTCAGATGCACGTATTGATAAAACGTTGATAAAGTATTTTTAAGCTGCGGAAAGGGACAGCTTAAAACCTACAGGTGAATTAATCTATAAAACAAAAAAGTGAAATATCGTTTGAAAATGTATTGTGCTTTTAGCAGGTCCAGCACAATCTCTTGATTAAGCTAAATAGCTTTATAAAGCTATTCAAAATAGCTTGATAAAGCTATTTATATGCAGTTTTTCCCAAAAACGTTTTTTTAAAAGAAATAAACAAAAAGTCGCACGTATTTGACTATTCATATATGTACTATGGACTATCAAAAATACAACCTAAATCATAGAAAGTTCTTACATTGCTGCTGTTGAATACTTTAAGCAAAATGTGAATTTCCATTGTTTGAGTAACTGTGTGTGCGGTGAGGCATGGGTAAGTATGATTGCTTCTCATTGTGCTGAACTGTTACTAATCAATTATCCTGTTGGCCATAACTGGCCTCCTTTATAATTTCATTCAAGAATTAACTGTGTTTTCACTCATCAATAGCCCCAAAACTTTTAAAACTTTGAGTACAAAGTCTCTCAAGGAGACGCAATTTGGTGAGTGATTTTTAAATGCATTGTATTCAGAAGAGAACAAAGTTTAATATTTCCACTGCACCTAGGTGCGACTTTTTGCACATGTTGAAAAAATAACACATTTGAGAAAAAAGTCTGAGCAAATAGCTTAATCAAGCTATTCTGAATAGCTTAATAAAGCTATATAGCTAAATCAAGCTATGTAGCTTAATCAAGAGATTGTGCTGGACCTGTTTAGACTATGCATAAGTTTGGGACATCATGGGGTTAATTTTGCCCTGAATCAACTGTGTATTGATAATGCAAATATTTTTACTGACAGGCATTTTTAGGGTGTCGAAGGGGCCTGTTTTTTGCTCCATTCATAATGGCAAAAAGTATGTGTTTTCCCAATTTCACCAAAGAAAATTTCCAACAGACAATCAAAACAAACAAAATTTGGTTATAAAATGTTTGGACTCTGTAATGTATAATCTAATTGATGTTCAAATAAATATATAAACCACGTGCTCCAAATACTGATTGAGTGAATGTTGAAGTATTGTATGTATAAACTGACAATGATAGTAATTGTTTATATTTGTATTCAGCATTAATCATACAAGACTTACGATATTATAATACGCAATCTCTCCTGCAATACAAGTGACTAGATCTACACACCACCATGCACAACAGACGACAACTTACTCACACTTGCACATCGCACACAGTGTCAAGTTAACACATACCTGCACACACTCATACCACACTAAACTCCCCTCCCTTTTGAAAAAGAAGGAGGTACTCCTGTACCTTAATACATCATATGCAAGTAAAAAAGGTCAATGAGTACCTTGCAAATAAAAGATAAACTATTATTTATTTACATAAATAGAAAAATGACAAAATATCACTTTTTTCTCAAATAGAATAGCCCAGCCAATTGACGTTTTGCCCCCTTTCTGGAGTCTGCTGGAAATCAAGCGGTGAGGTTGTCGGCATGACATTTTACTTGCATAAATTTATTTATCAAATCAGAGATGGCTTAAAAAATATGCATTTTCATCATTTTTTTGCTCACCAATGTGAAGTGGACAGGAATATTAGTAATACCCATGGGATCAGTGCAAGTGTTGGTGTCCCAGATGAAAGTTTTTGGAGCCGACTTCTTTTTAAGTACATCTATGCCCTAGCCCCCAAGGGATGCATGTAAGATGCTTCAAGTATGTTTCATTGTACCAACCAGCCCGGTTTCAGAGACTGCAATTTCAGCTAATTTAAAAGAATGATCAGGTTAATGTTTTTGAAGCAGGTGTCATTTCCAAGTATTTTGACCAAACTTACAAGAATCGAACATGAACATCCAAAATAAAATATATGGAAGTACATTACCAGGCTTGCCTCGGATGCTGAATCTGGCCTTTATTTTTAATATGAGTGACTAGGTTAAAAGTTTTTTGAGCAAGTCTCATTTCCAAGTAACTATAAGGCCTATTTTGACCAATCTTCCATGGACCCATTACCAGGCTTGCTTTAGATTCTGAATCCAACCTACATTTTATGGATGAGTGAAAGAGTCAAAATTTTTGGAGCAAGGAAATATTTGGAAATAGTCATTCTAATATAACTATTAACCTGTTGAATGATCACAATCAAATTAGAGATATTGATGAAGGTTATTCAAATGCAAAATTTTTTTTTACCTTGAAGCTTTATTTTGAACTTGAACTTACCTCAACAAAGTCAAGATGTAGTTATGCTATACCCTGACTCCAGCCTCAGGGTTAGCATTTGTGCCATGGTAGAGTTTTAGGAGCAAGTCCATGTTCTAGTAAGTATAAGTCGTACCTGGACCAAAATTGCATGGATGATGCATTTAGGAATGGACACTACCAGACTTGCTTCGGATGCTTGATCTGACCTACTTTTTCCAGATGAGTGATGAAATTATTCCCAACTCAGCTCTACCCTGACCAAACTTGCATGGATGATGCATCTAAAGATGGACATTTGAAACTTGCTTCGGATGCTGAATCTGACCTGCATTCTTCAAACGAGTGACCAGGTTCAAGTATTTGGAAAATGTCAATCCTCAATGAACTTTAAAACCTATTTAAACAGAATTTGCTTGAATATTGTTGTCAGGATAAATACTAACTGTGAAGGAAATATGATGTAAGATTTGCATTACTTAAACTGATAACATTCGTCAAGGTGAGCTTCATAATCTTTGATTATCTATGCTTTTAAATGAAGTTTCATACTTCATGTGAAATGAGACTGGGAGTGTCAGTCCCCTATGATGTGTCTGTTTTCTCTTTATAAGAGCAGAAGAAATTTGAGGCTGACCAGGATCCTGAAGTGAGGAGCAGTCCCTTTCCCATTTAACAGCATTCATGAGCAGAAAATGGGGTAAGATTCATACTTGACCTCTTTGTACCTTTTCCCAGTATTTTGGCTTTCCAATTGATGTTGGCTTTGTCAAGCTTTGACCTATTGATTTTGATTTGACAGGAATCAGAAAACTGAGACAGTTCAGAAGAAACATCACCAGAAGCCACAGAACAGCAAAGGAAGCTTATATGGAAGTATTTTTGATTTTCTCCCTTTCCCCTACCCCCTGGCCCCTGCTGACTCTAACATAACTAACCATCACTTTCCCTTTCCCCCTCATTCGTCTTCCTGAATTCTCTGTCATTGTTTTCTGATTTTTGAACAAATTGTGTTGTACTGATTTTATTCACTTGAATTTTTGTGATTTGTTGCATTGTTTTGAAGTCTTACTAATCTTGTGCCAGTTTATACTTTCAGGGACTCGGAAGAGGAACAACGATGGAGGAGCAAGGTCGACCAACAGAGGAAGACGAGATGACGAGTCCATTTCCCATCTCTATGCAGCAGCCAAAATGGCCCAAAGTGGTAAGTAACTTTTCGTGATTTGTTGCATTCTTTTGAAGTTTTACTGACATTGTGCCAGTTTTATACTTTCAGGGACTGGGAAGAGGAACAATAATGGAGGAGCAGGGTCGACCCACAGAGGAAGACGAGATGACGAGTCCATTTCCCATCTCTATACAGCAGCCAACATGGCCCAAAATGGTAAGTAACTTTTCGTGATTTGTTGCATTCTTTTGAAGTTTTACTAACATTGTGCCAGTTTTATACTTTCAGGGACTGGGAAGAGGAACAGCGATGGAGGAGCAGGGTCGACCAACAGAGGAAGACGAGATGACGAGTCCATTTCCCATCTCTATACAGCAGCCAACATGGCCCAAAGTGGTAAGTAACTTTTCGTGATTTGTTGCATTCTTTTGAAGTTTTACTAACATTGTGCCAGTTTTATACTTTCAGGGACTGGGAAGAGGAACAACGATGGAGGAGCAAGGTCGACCAACAGAGGAAGACGAGATGACGAGTCCATTTCCCATCTCTATACAGCAGCCAACATGGCCCAAAGTGGTAAGTAACTTTTCGTGATTTGTTGCATTCTTTTGAAGTTTTACTAACATTGTGCCAGTTTTATACTTTCAGGGACTAGGAAGAGGAACAACGATGGAGGAGCAGGGTCGACCCACAGAGGAAGACGAGATGACGAGTCCATTTCCCATCTCTATACAGCAGCCAACATGGCCCAAAGTGGTAAGTAACTTTTCGTGATTTGTTGCATTCTTTTGAAGTTTTACTAACATTGTGCCAGTTTTATACTTTCAGGGACTGGGAAGAGGAACAACGATGGAGGAGCAAGGTCGACCAACAGAGGAAGACGAGATGACGAGTCCATATCCCATCTCTATACAGCAGCCAACATGGCCCAAAGTGGTAAGTAACTTTTCGTGATTTGTTGCATTCTTTTTAAGTTATACTAACATTGTGCCAGTTTTATACTTTCAGGGACTGGGAAGAGGAACAACGATGGAGGAGCAAGGTCGACCAACAGAGGAAGACGAGACGACGAGTCCATTTCCCATCTCTATACAGCAGCCAACATGGCCCAAAGTGGTAAGTAACTTTTCGTGATTTGTTGCATTCTTTTGAAGTTTTACTAACATTGTGCCAGTTTTATACTTTCAGGGACTGGGAAGAGGAACAACGATGGAGGAGCAGGGTCAACCAACAGAGGAAGACGAGATGACGAGTCCATATCCCATCTCTATACAGCAGCCAACATGGCCCAAAGTGGTAAGTAACTTTTCGTGATTTGTTGCATTCTTTTGAAGTTTTACTAACATTGTGCCAGTTTTATACTTTCAGGGACTCGAAAGAGGAACAACGATGGAGGAGCAGGGTCGACCAACAGAGGAAGACGAGATGACGAGTCCATTTCCCATCTCTATACAGCAGCCAACATGGCCCAAAGTGGTAAGTAACTTTTCGTGATTTGTTGCATTCTTTTGAAGTTTTACTAACATTGTGCCAGTTTTATACTTTCAGGGACTGGGAAGAGGACAACGATGGAGGAGCAGGGTCGACCAACAGAGGAAGACGAGATGACGAGTCCATTTCCCATCTCTATACAGCAGCCAACATGGCCCAAAGTGGTAAGTAACTTTTCGTGATTTGTTGCATTCTTTTGAAGTTTTACTAACATTGTGCCAGATTTATACTTTCAGGGACTGGGAAGAGGAACAACGATGGAGGAGCAGGGTCGACCAACAGAGGAAGACGAGATGACGAGTCCATTTCCCATCTCTATACAGCAGCCAACATGGCCCAAAGTGGTAAGTAACTTTTCGTGATTTGTTGCATTCTTTTGAAGTTTTACTAACATTGTGCCAGTTTTATACTTTCAGGGACTGGGAAGAGGAACAACGATGGAGGAGCAAGGTCGACCAACAGAGGAAGACGAGATGACGAGTCCATTTCCCATCTCTATACAGCAGCCAACATGGCCCAAAGTGGTAAGTAACTTTTCGTGATTTGTTGCATTCTTTTGAAGTTTTACTAACATTGTGCCAGTTTTATACTTTCAGGGACTAGGAAGAGGAACAACGATGGAGGAGCAGGGTCGACCAACAGAGGAAGACGAGATGACGAGTCCATTTCCCATCTCTATACAGCAGCCAACATGGCCCAAAGTGGTAAGTAACTTTTCGTGATTTGTTGCATTCTTTTGAAGTTTTACTAACATTGTGCCAGTTTTATACTTTCAGGGACTAGGAAGAGGAACAACGATGGAGGAGCAGGGTCGACCAACAGAGGAAGACGACATGACGAGTCCATTTCCCATCTCTATACAGCAGCCAACATGGCCCAAAGTGGTAAGTAACTTTTCGTGATTTGTTGCATTCTTTTGAAGTTTTACTAACATTGTGCCAGTTTTATACTTTCAGGGACTCGAAAGAGGAACAACGATGGAGGAGCAGGGTCGACCAACAGAGGAAGACGAGATGACGAGTCCATTTCCCATCTCTATACAGCAGCCAACATGGCCCAAAGTGGTAAGTAACTTTTCGTGATTTGTTGCATTCTTTTGAAGTTTTACTAACATTGTGCCAGTTTTATACTTTCAGGGACTGGGAAGAGGACAACGATGGAGGAGCAGGGTCGACCAACAGAGGAAGACGAGATGACGAGTCCATTTCCCATCTCTATACAGCAGCCAACATGGCCCAAAGTGGTAAGTAACTTTTCGTGATTTGTTGCATTCTTTTGAAGTTTTACTAACATTGTGCCAGATTTATACTTTCAGGGACTGGGAAGAGGAACAACGATGGAGGAGCAGGGTCGACCAACAGAGGAAGACGAGATGACGAGTCCATTTCCCATCTCTATACAGCAGCCAACATGGCCCAAAGTGGTAAGTAACTTTTCGTGATTTGTTGCATTCTTTTGAAGTTTTACTAACATTGTGCCAGTTTTATACTTTCAGGGACTGGGAAGAGGAACAACGATGGAGGAGCAAGGTCGACCAACAGAGGAAGACGAGATGACGAGTCCATTTCCCATCTCTATACAGCAGCCAACATGGCCCAAAGTGGTAAGTAACTTTTCGTGATTTGTTGCATTCTTTTGAAGTTTTACTAACATTGTGCCAGTTTTATACTTTCAGGGACTAGGAAGAGGAACAACGATGGAGGAGCAGGGTCGACCAACAGAGGAAGACGAGATGACGAGTCCATTTCCCATCTCTATACAGCAGCCAACATGGCCCAAAGTGGTAAGTAACTTTTCGTGATTTGTTGCATTCTTTTGAAGTTTTACTAACATTGTGCCAGTTTTATACTTTCAGGGACTAGGAAGAGGAACAACGATGGAGGAGCAGGGTCGACCAACAGAGGAAGACGAGATGACGAGTCCATTTCCCATCTCTATACAGCAGCCAACATGGCCCAAAGTGGTAAGTAACTTTTCGTGATTTGTTGCATTCTTTTGAAGTTTTACTAACATTGTGCCAGTTTCATACTTTCAGGGACTGGGAAGAGGAACAACGATGGAGGAGCAAGGTCGACCAACAGAGGAAGACGAGATGACGAGTCCATTTCCCATCTCTATACAGCAGCCAACATGGCCCAAAGTGGTAAGTAACTTTTCGTGATTTGTTGCATTCTTTTTAAGTTATACTAACATTGTGCCAGTTTTATACTTTCAGGGACTGGGAAGAGGAACAACGATGGAGGAGTAGGGTCAACCAACAGAGGAAGACGAGATGACGAGTCCATATCCCATCTCTATACAGCAGCCAACATGGCCCAAAGTGGTAAGTAACTTTTCGTGATTTGTTGCATTCTTTTGAAGTTTTACTAACATTGTGCCAGTTTTATACTTTAAGGAATAGGAAGAGGAACAACGATGGAGGAGCAGGGTCGACCAACAGAGGAAGACGAGATGACGAGTCCATTTCCCATCTCTATACAGCAGCCAACATGGCCCAAAGTGGTAAGTAACTTTTCGTGATTTGTTGCATTCTTTTGAAGTTTTACTAACATTGTGCCAGTTTTATACTTTCAGGGACTGGGAAGAGGAACAACGATGGAGGAGCAAGGTCGACCAACAGCAAAAGACAGGATGACGAGTCCATTTCCCATCTCTATGCAGCAACCAATATGGCTCAAGGTTGTAAGTAACAAATTGATTATTCAAATGAAGTTTGTTATTTGTTAGGGAATGTGAGTGATTCTCCTTTGATGTGTTTGTTTTCTCTTTTTAATCAGAAGAAATTTGAGGCTGACCAGGATCCTGAAGTGAAGAGCAGTCCCTCTCCCATTTAACAGCTTTCATGAGCAGAAAGTGCGGTAAGATTCATACTTGACCTCTGAGCACTCTTTCCCAATATTATGGCTTTCCAATTGATGTTGGCTTTTTCAGGCTTTGACCTCTGGGGTTTGAATTGACAGGAAGGAGAGATAGCCACCTCTGAAGGTCAGTCTGGAGTGTTTTCTGCTGCATTCAGAAAGTATGAGGTGCATAGTAGTTGTAAGTAGCGTTACAAAGGTGTTTCTTAGTCTTAGGTTTAGTTTGTGTAGTATTTCTGGTAGATGCAGTTGTGTTGTAGTTTGAGTTAGTAAGTAGGCTTTAGATGATAGTTAGACAGCTTAGAGGAGTGTAGGTTATTATTGTAATTAAGGTATTTGTTAGTTAGTGCATGATTAGTGCTTGTGGTGGATAGGTTTGCATGATTAACACCCTAACAAGCAGGGTTCTGCATGAGCTGTTTTACTGTGTTGGTCCCGACACAGAAAAATGTTTTCCGACACAGTAAAGATTCAAATTTTATATGTGCGACACATTAAAAATTTTGCTGACTCTGTGATAATAAACAAAAAATTGAAACATACAAATTCTCTCTATCTGAAACATAATTGATCAAACAATTCTACTGTCTTTCAATTCTATACGATATCTAGATCACTTAATTATGCTTTCACCTTGCATAATCAATTATTTCCTAGACCCTCAATGGACTTGACGCATGAAGGAACAAAGACAAAAAATTGGATTTCAAACTTCCATGTAACGCTTAATTGGTACTAGTAGTTGCAATTAAAGTACATTGTATTATTTTTAAAAATATATTTAAATGTCTTTTCTTTAGAGCCATGGCTCTAGAATTATGTTTGCAATGTAAATCAAACATAACACTGTACCAAAATCATTTACTTGATGTAAATAAATAGTTTTTTAATTTTCAAGGTACTTTTAAAAGTATTTTACTATTCCAAAGTCTCTTTTTTTTGTAATTCCTTAATTCGATCAATAAAATTGACAAAAAAATTATGACAAATTTGCTTTAAAAATTGTAAGTAGTTCAACTTTATAGACAAGAATTTCCTCTGCATTTCACAACATGTGCTAATATGTTCGACCATACTATTTTTGTAACGAATTGGTGATTTTTTTTTAAAAATTGTGTGCATGTATTCTTAAGTAATTATAATGAATAGTGAGTCAGTTGCAAATTTGATCGTTAAAATACCGTGAAATTTTAGTGCTTTGCGTAAACTCTGCAACACAGTAAAATTTCAAACAATGGAGAACCCTGAACAAGTAACAAGCTACTAAAACTACTAACGTCTGCTAAATGTTGTGTGATGCGTCTAGTGTGTTGGTGTTAGTGTCTGTGTGCTTGTCACCTCTCACTTTCAGCCATCACCGCTGGCTAGCAGCAATGCGAAAAGGGGGAAGAAATTCTAATGACTTCCCCTGCCAGTACATAGCCTCTCCACAACAAGTCCTATGCGATGCCTCCACGTGGAAGCAGACGGATACTGGGTATCATTTTGTCCTAGGCTAAGTTCGCAAGGGCGCATGGGAAGATGAGTCTCAAAAGCATTGGTAAACATCTCATATAGGATCTCTCCTGATCACAAACCCAATTTAGTAGTAGAATCAATTGATATAAGTGCTGGTTTTTAAAAGACTTGTGAACCTTTGTTCATTTTATGTCTTTGTCATCTTTTTAGCTCACCTGAGCCGAAGGCTAAAGTGAGCTTTTCTGATCACATTTTGTCCGGCGTCCGTCTGTCTGTCCGTCTGTCTGTCTGTCTGTCTGTCCGTCTGTCTGTAAACTTTTCACATTTTTGACTTCTTCTCAAGAACCACTGGGCCAATTTTGACCAAACTTGGTACCAAGCATTCTTGAGTAAAGGGGAATTTAAATTGTTAAAATGAAGGGCCAAGTTTCCTCACAAGGGGAGATAATCAAGAAAAGACAAAACTAGGGTGGGGTCATTAAAAAATCTTCTCAAGAACCACTGGGCCAGAAAAGCTGAAACTTCTGTGGAAGCATCCTGGGGTAGTGTAGATTCTAAATTGTTCAAATCATGACCCCCCGCGGTTGGGCGGGGCCACAATGGGGAATCAAATTTTTACATAGAAATATATAGGAAAAATCTTTGAAAATCTTCTGCTCAAGAACCACTGGGCCAGAAAAGCTGAAACTTATGTGGAAGCATCCTGGGGTAGTGTAGATTTCAAATTGTCTAAATTTTGATCAGTGGGGTAGGGTGGGGTCACAATATGTGTTACAAGGGGGAAATCTGGTAAAGAACAGAATCGTCAAAGCTTCTCAGGTGAGCGATGTGGCCCATGGGCCTCTTGTTTGTAAAATTTCACATTTTTATCTGTGGTCAAATTCAACGAAACTTGGCAAAGAGTATCCTTGGATAAATGCCATTATGGGATTTAAGTTTATTCAAATGAAGGCCCACTCCCTCTTCAAATGGAAGATTACTTCAAATAAGAGAAAAATTAAGGACATCTTTTAAAAATCTTCTTTTCAAGAACCACTGAGACAGGAAAGAGACACTTATATAGCACCATCCTCAGGTAGTGTAGATTCAAAATTAGTCAAATCAAGACCCCATGTTGGTGTCAGAATAGGGGATCAAAAATATATATAATACTGTAGATTCCTTATTTTTCACGAGTAATTATTGCGAATAGGCTTTTCACCGTCAAATCACAAAAATAATAATTCGCAAATGCATGGTTGGTTAAAAGATTTACATAGAATTCAGCGCCATAAAAATAAAGGCGAGTAATCTAATTTTGTGTGTGGTGCTTCTCATGAAATTACGCGAAAATTAATTCCACGCAAATATTTAGGAATGTACAGTATGTAGGGATATACTTTTTTTTTTCTCAAGCCACAATTAGTTATATTGATAGCAAATCATCCTTTGGGTGTGAAGATTTCATTTTGTTCAAATCATGTCTACCGGGAAGAGGTTTGGGCCACATTGGACAATTAAAGTTTTACATTGGATTATATTGGAAATATTTTTAGAAATCTTCTCAGAAACAAATATGTCATGACTGGTGATATGTATAAGGTAGCATCTTCTTGTAGTGTAGATTTAAGTTTGTTCAAATCATGACTCCCAGGTGAAGGGCAGGGCCCCAATGGTGGATCAAAATGGACAGGGGAATACTGTAAATCACTTTTTATTCGCGAGAACTTTATTTTCACATTACCAATGAGACAGTATGGTTGCGAAAATTTCATTCTTGCGTATAATATAATTCCTTAAGATTATATAGAGCAATGACCACAATTTTGAAAATTTTGTCTCTCTAAAAGAGTCATTGACTATCTCGCGAAAATTAAGTAATTTACAGTATATTGGAAACGTGTTCTCAATAATACCAAAGCCATGTATAGTCATATTGATATGGAAGCATCCTTAGGTAGTGTAGATTCAAATTTGTCCAATTCTTGATTTCAGGGGGCAGGGAGGGGCATCAGTGGGGATAAAATTTTAACAAAGGAATATATAGGAAAAAATTTTATGTTCAAGAACAGCTAAGCCAATGTTATTGATATGAAAATGTCTCCAGGTAGTTATTCAAGCCCCCTTCTCCTCTTCCTAAATGTTATACTTTTCAGTACTGGACTAATTTGTCATTTACTATCCAATATGCTTAGGTGAGCATATTGCCCATTGGCCACTAGTTTATTTTAGAAATCTTCTCACTTGGTATGAAGTGCAAGTGATCCCCGTTTGGTGTCTGTTAATTTTTATCTTTTTAAGAGGAATACTTTTAAGGCTGAACAGGATCCTGAAGTGAGGAGGACTCCCTCTTTCATTGAACTGCATACAGCAGCAGAAAGCAGGGTAAGATTCAGATTTTACTTCTTGTATCTTTGCTTGCCTATTGATGTTGGCTGTACCAAGCTTTAACATCTGGACCTTCAATTGACAGATTTCAGTTCCCCTTTGATTCAGAAGAGGAACAACAATGGAGGACCAAGGTCATCAATATAAGTCTGTGTTTTGCAGGTATTTATGTTTCAAAAGTGGTAAGCAACAAGCTGCTTTTTACTGAAGCTTCTCACTTGGTATGAAGTGCAAGTGTTTCCCCTTTTATGTCTCTGTTTTATCTTTTTAAGCAGAAGAAAGTTAAGACTGACCAGGAATTTTAATTGAGGAAGAGTCCCTTTCCCATTCCGCTGCAGCCATGAAGAGAATTTTAATACTAAGAATCAGACTTTACTTCTTTTTTACCTATGGAACTTCATCATGACCCACTTTAACAGGCAGGAGTCTTACAAATATTTTTTATTTAATTATTTCTGACATATCTTTGTCCTCCCTACTCTAAAGTAACTATGCTTTCCTCTCCTTGCCCCAATATTCCACCTTATTCCTAGCTATCATAACCTTATTGTCTTTATTTGCTTTTTGATTTTCAAGCTAATAATGTTGTAATGATTATGTTCATTTGAATTTCTGTGATTATTACATTGCTTTGTATTATTGCTTATCTTCTCTCCATCAAGTATTTCCAAGGAATTTGACAAGGGAAGAGGACCAGTGCTGATCGACCAAGTGAAGAAAAAGAAGAGTCTATTGCCAAGCTTTGTACAGCAGCCAATATCTGATTAAGGAGTGGGTAAAAAGATTTATTTTTTGCAATTTACAAATTTTCTTTATACACTTGTCAAATCATAGGTCCAGGGGGATTTACTTCTGCTGCACAACAGCAAGACTGTTGCAATAACAAGAGGGCATCCCGAGGATGTGTTGTTTCAAATTACGTTACATCATGATCCCTTTGGACTAGGATTAGTAAAAAAAAATATGAATTAAGAATTTTTCTTTTGATGACAAAGTCAAGGTGACTCAGGTGAACATTTTGGCACAAGGTTTTTTTCATTATCTTTGGATTTTCTTTGTTAACAAGTAGAAGATGAGACTGATCTCAATCAGTTAACAAGAATGTGGAAAGTAAGGACTTACTACTGTCTAACCTAAACATTGATGGTTAGTCAGATCAGATGCATGTAAAGCTCTAGACCTTGCATTATGTGAATTAGAGGAGATTTTGACTCTCTCATTGCTTGGATTCTTAGTGTCTTTTTGTTAATAGGCAGACGGTTATGCTGGCATTGATCCTGTTTCCAAAGCAGATCAACATGATTCCTCAAGACTCCAAAGAGATCAACTATGGGACCTGAAAATAAAGGTAAGTCACACATGTACAAGCTCTGCAAAATCCTTCTATTCTGTAAAAATATGTTAGCTATTTTTCATTTCTTAAGATTTTATTAATATTTATGTTGAGTCCTTGTGATTTCTTTTTTTACAGGCAGACTGCCATCAATTTCATGTTTCTTTGATAGCAGACAAATATGCTTCAACAATAGTGCAGAGAGTAATTTAAGGTTTGGACTGCAAGTGATGGACACACTAAATAACTCAACTCAAAGAATTCAATGGATAGTGCTGAGTACATTATTATATATCTACAAAGTGATGGGCACACTAAATAGCTTAACTGACAGAATTCAATGGACCGTGCTGAGAACATTGTTATATATCTACAAAGTGATGGACACACTAAATAGCTTAACTGACAGAATTCAATGGACCGTGCTGAGTACATTGTTATCTACAAAGTGATGGACACACTAAATAGCTTAATTCACAGAATCCAGTGGACAGAGTTGAGTATGTACTAATATCTACAAAGTGAAGGACACAGTAAACAGCTTAATTCTCAGGATTCAGTGTACCATGCTGAGTACATAACTCATTAAGGATAACTCATATGACATCCACAGCAGATCACTCAAAGTTATGTTACTACATTATTGTACAACTTTTCATATACTACGTTATTTTTTCTGAATGTTTTTTTTTGTATCTGTATATCATATTTTTTAATTTAAAAAAGTTAAAGATTGGATTTTTAAGCAAAAATATCAAGAGAGGTATTAATCAGTGCTTGTCTGAACATCTAAGCTTAAGAGAAAGGGAGGTAATTTTTTTTATTGTGAATCCTTGTCCAGAGCATATGCTTTCTCCCCTTGGTCCAATGTGGCTAATACTTCTCTCACAGAGTGCCACTGGTCAATGGATGTGTAATGACCTTGAACAAAGTTTCTAGGCCAAGAGTCAAGGTTAAAACCCCTTTCAGCTACTTTATATTTTTATGTTCAAATGCTGAAAGTGGGACCCTTTGAGATGGCCATAATCTCAATGATATCTAATTTTAGATTGAAAATTGCTAGAAAAGATAAAGTGATCTCATTGTAACATTATTATTTTTTAGTGTTTTAGATTATAAATAAATATAACAATATGTAAAATCTAAATTCTTTTGTATTTTCTCTCCTTTGATTTACATAGCAGGCCTTGCAGTTTTTAGCTCATATGATATTTTCTGATCACCTGTTGTCCGTCGTCCATTCGTCTGACTGTCCATTCATTTGTAAACTTTTCACATTTTCAGCTTATTCTTGAGAACCATTGGGCCAATTTTGACCAAACTTAGTACAAAACATCCTTGTGTAGTGGGAGTTTAAATTATAAAAATAAAGTCCCCTTCCGAGGGGAAATTGTCAAGAATATACAAAAATAGGGTGGGGTCATAAAAAAACTTTCTCAAGAACCACTGGGCCAGAAAAGCTTAAACTTCTGTGGAAGCATCCTGGGGTAGTGTTACTAGTGTAGATTCTAAATTGCTTGGATCATGACCCCTGGGGATTGGGAAAGGTCAAGATAGGTATTAGGGGAAAATCTATTTAATAACATAATGGCCAAAGTTACTCAGGTGAGTGATGTGGCCCATGGGCTTCTTGCTTATCTAATTTAGTTTAGATTTTCTAGATGTTTCATATTTTTTCAATTTTTCTTGAAAAGCATAACTGATGTACATGTAATTGTAAAAACTGTGTTTGTCCCTTGTGATACATGATTAATTTATGTCAGTTTGAATTTATCATATATATTAAAATACACTATTATACAGTCTGTTTGTCATGGAATTAAATTTGTTGAGTTTTTATTCCACCTCTATAATTGAAGATTTTGGGGCATATTTTGATAACCTGTCTGTCTGTTTATGTGTCTCCAAATTTACTAATTTTTACGACCTATGGCCATTCCTTTTGAGCTTTTTTTAACCTTTAAGTTAGACTATGACCTACCTTGGTAAAAAAAAAAATGATGTGAATGACTAGTGCTAGGGCTTTCATATTTCAAATGTGTATTCCTTGTAATGAAACTTCCCTTTTTACCCCAAACAAAGGAAGTTTTAGGGATATATAGGAATCACATTATCTGTGAATGTAATTTTTAGTCTAGGCTCTAACTTTGATATATGGAAACATTGGAAGCTTATACTTGTTATAGAGCTTGCTTGTAATGACCCGACAGTGAGTCCTGATCTAACAAAAGGTCATTCCTGCAAGTTCAAGGTCACTGGCCTAAAAGTATGAAATTTTTGTCTGGGTCATAACTTTGTAGAAAGAATCACTGGAAGCTCAAACCTGGTACAGGGATTGCTTATGACCCAAAAATGTGTCATGATCTTATCCAGTCATTCCATTTAGTTCAAGGTTACTAGTAGAAAAAAGGTATGACATAACTTGACTTTGGAGAGTCAGTGGAAGCTCATACTCGGTACAGATATTGCTTATGATCAAAGAATATGCCTTGACCTTTATCCAAGGTCATTTTGGCGATTTCAAGGTCACTGGTAGAAAAAAGAAAAAAAATGTCTCGGCTAAAACTTTATTTGGAAAAGAATTGGTACGGGTATTGTTTTTGAAATAAGGAAAGTTATTATTTTAATCCAGTACGTGTCAATGCAGCAAGTTCAAAGTTACAGACAGAATAGTGTAAAATTATTTTTTCAAAACTTTAACTTAACAATGTAGAAATACTAGGAGTTCGTACTTGATACAAAGATTGCTCATTGGAACCTGATACAGGTACTGTTTATGAACCTAAGGAGTGTCATGATTTTAATTCGAAGTCAAATAGCAAGTGAAAGGTTGGTGGTATAAGAATTAAAAATTATGACAAGCCTTTATTATCTGATGGAGAAATATCTGTACGTATGCACGATGATTCACTTAAAGTTTACTAATGATAAAAGTATATGTGAATTTTGCCTAGTCTCAGTCTTTTTGGCAAGAAATTGAAATGAAATGGCAAACTGGAAAAAAAATTCATTTTGGACCAATCCCGATCAAAATAAAACCATAATGAATAAAATAACAATTTATTGCCTTCTTTATTGTCCCCCGCTTTAGCAAAAGCGAGGGGACATTAAATCTCATTCGTCTGTCCGTCCGTCGCAAAAACTTTAAGCTTGCCCATTATTTTTGATTTAGTGGAGCTATGACTTTCACATTTCACTTGTGTGACCCTTGTGAGAAGACCTTTCTTTGGGTACCACCATATTTGACCTTTTGACCTAGACCTTGGAGTTTGACCAACTTTTACACAAAAAATCCAAACTTTTACTTTGGCCATATCTTTTGAATAGTAGAAACTAGGAATTTCATATTTCACATATGCATTTTTTGTGTCAAGGCCTTTCATTGGATACCAACAATTTTGACCTTTTAACTTTGACCTTAGAGACCTATGAAAAACTTTTACCTTGACCATAACTTTTGAACGGAAAGGGCTAGGGCTATCGTACTTCACATATGTAATCCTTGTGAAAAGACCTTTCATTGGATACCAAGAACTTTGACCCTTTGACCTTGACCATGGAGATTGACCTAATTTTCAAAAACTTTGACCATGGCCACAACTTTTGAACGGTAGATACTACATGTAGGACTTCATATTATTGCACATATGTATTTTTTGTCGCAAGACCTTTCATTGGATACCAACAACTTTGACCTTTTGACCTTGGAGATTTCCGTACTTATGAAAAAACTTTAACCTTGACCATATCTTTTGAATGGTAGAAACTAGGACTTACATATTTCACATATGTATTTTTTGTGGCAAGGCCTTTCATTGGATACCAACCATTCTGACATTTTGACTTTGACCTTGGAGATTTCCGTACTTTTGAAAAAAAAAGTTTAACCTTGACCATAACATTTGAACGGTAAGGGCTAAGGCTTTCGTACTTCACATATGTAATCCTTATGAGAAGACCTTTCATTGGATACCAAGAACTTTGACCCTTTGACCTTGACCTTGGAGATTGACTTACTTTTCCAAAAGTTTTACCTTGGCCATAACTATTGAACGGTTAAGGTTAGGGTTTTCATCCTTCACATATGTATTACTTGTGACCTTTTTAAAGAAATCAACAACTCAGATCCTTTCACCTTGGAGTTTGACCTACTTTTCAAAAATGTATCCTTGGCCATAACTTTCTTTTAAACAGGGGGGTGGGTTTTGTATTTCACAATCGTATTTCTTGTCTGAAAACCCTACTTTGGGTAATATCAAATATATTTCATTTGAATTAAGAAAAGTTAAATCTTTGTTATGTTGCCATATGAGGTCATCTGTGTTTCACAAACACATCTTGTTCCTTATATCGAGAAGAGATAGGACTTTCATATTTGACATGTGCATTACCTGTGACAAGATATTTCCGAGCATGCTATGAATTCTTACCCCTTGACCTTGACCTTCACAATTGACCTTATTTTAAAAAAAAAATCAACTTCAGTGATAATTTCTAAATAAATGACATATGATAGGGTGTTCATATTAGACACAATGTGTCATAAAAAATGACATCTCATCCACAAAGACACTGAAAGCGGGGGACTACAATTCTTTGAATTTGCTTGTTAAAATCTAAAATACTACTGTAGAATTTTTGCTCAGATTACAATAGTGGGATGAGCAAAATATATTGTACATTATATGCACGATACAAAATTGTTACTTCCTGGTTTCTACATGAATATACTCAACTTTTCAACATTTAAGACCTTATCCTGTTATTATGAGATACTTCTAGAATTACAAGATAAAAAGTGTTTATTCAGGAAAACACAAAACATAGTTGGAAGATTTTTTCAAATTTATGTGTTCAAAATTTCAAGAGTATATATTTTTTAAATACTTTTTCTTTTCTAACACTTTTTATGACCCCTCTTTGAGGAGATCCTTTTTATCATAAGCACATTAGCATGCTTTCTTCAATACAGATCCTTCCATCGTAATAACATCTTTATCTGCTTAAAAAAACTTGTATCTGACAAATTGCATGAGCATTATCTATAGATACTTTTTCATGCAGTATCTGAAGTAGCATTTCACACACTTAATCACACTTTTTCATTAAAATGTTAGCTAAATTAATTAACCATCTTGGTAAAATGACAAAATAGAAAAAAAAAAAGATCCAATATCTTATGAATTTCATGTACATTTAATACCTTAACATGAAAATCCACTTGACATGTGTAAAAAAAAAGATTGACATGATACGAACAACAGCAATATGATGCATGATGATACATACATTTATATGTATATATAAAAAAAACTTGGATTTTCATTCAAAATAGTGTCTTTGAATGCATGAATGTCTATGTCTATTTTCACATCACAACAAATCTGTAATCCTCAGATGGTAACATTTCTTTCTCCCTGAAAAGAAAAAGAAAATCTGCATTCAAACAGTATACTATAGAATTATAAAGGGAATTGATATAACATAATTTTGTATTATGATCTGGGTCTTTTTTTGTGAATAAATGTCAAGCACATTAACTACTAGTAAAATTTCTCTGTCTGTGTTAGCATGATTACAACAACAGCATTTAATATTTTTTGCTTTAAAAATTTATGAAACCATATACATGGAGAATGACCTCATTCAATTTGAACTTTTCGAATTCCCTAGTATTCACCTATTTCATGTCTACATGTATATTCAATCATTATATATATAAATGTTTTTCGAATCAATGTCTGTCCAAATTTTCTATTCCAAAATGTCTGTGTTTCAATGTCACACATTTTTTGCTAAAACTATCTGTAAAATTCTGAATCAGTTTTCTTCAATACAAAAAAACTCACCTGTTCACCACATATTTCCTCGTCTGTTTCTATTGCCTGAATAACAAAAAAATAATTCTTCACAAAATAGTTAGAATTTGATTATCTTTGTCAACTAAATGATAAACAAGGGATCTGATGATAAAGCTATATT